AAAAATGCTTAGCTTGCAAGCACTAAAACATACTGAAAATTGGCTAAGAATTTTTATTTTGTGCCTGAATAAAAAAGATATAACCATTAAAAATTCAGGAAAGCACCCCTCTTTGATAGCTTATATATTACCTAAATACACAATTCGCATTTCTCTCATTTGATATACTTTACATAGCCCTTGATAATTCACAAAAGTGTGCTTATGCATTTCGTTTCACTTAATACATTCACAAAACCCCTTTGAGGGAAGTATTAAGTAACTTCACACATGAGATGATTACAGTGTGACATTTTGGAAAACAACTAGAAAAAAATGAATGAAAAGTAATGCTGAAAAAAACCTTTTGCTCAAACAGATTTTAATGATGGGCCTCATATGCCCTAAAGTGGACATAGCCAGCCCATCATTGCTATTAATCCACTATGGCAGTTGAATAGATTGAGAGACACCTAACCAGGCATCTGGGTCACAATGGCCAATTATGTCACATTACACTTAGAAATTCCCTCTGGGTTTCAGTGGTTACTACTTGCCTCCCTGAGGGAGCTGCTGTGGCCATTGAATAAGGCACAGGTCTGGGAATAACTCTGAAGCCAGGAGGCCTAGAGACATGGCAAGTATTTGTGTAGATGGTACCTAAGCCTCTTGTCAGCTCCAAAGTTCAATGACATTCCTTTCCTCTTACCAAGTTACCTAAGTGAGGAAGGATCTTAGTAAAATAAGAAACCCAATATGTAATAAAGGTTATTTTCTGGCATTGTAAGAAGAGTCTGTGATTACTGTGGCTCAGGTAAGGCCCCATTGAAAGAAGTTTTCATTTCTACTCTTAACAAAAAAGATAAATGACTAAATATTTAATAGGAAAAAAAACTGTCACAGTATACATGTATCTATAGAAGACATGTAATATTTACTTTTTGTCATTTTTCTGAATGCTGTTAATGGTGAAGTGCTTGGAAGGGGTGTTTAAAATTAATATTAGTTAAAAGCATGCTAATATTATTTGCAGACTAAAAGTTATCACTGCTAATGAATGTTGAGGGTATGTTTTAGTTTAAATTTTCTGTGCCAGTATTCTATAATGATAAGTATTTCTCTGATTTTTTTTTCCTTTATAAAGTATATTTCTGGTCAGTTGTTTTTCAGGTTGCTTGAAAACCTGTGCAAGTGTAATGTGATTACTTCTGATGCCACTGTTTCATTTACAGACTTCTAGGGATGGAGTCAATCGGGATCTCAGTGAGGCTGTTCCTCGACTTCCAGGAGAAATTCGCATTACTGGTAAGGATCCTGTGAAGTTAGGATTTGCATAAATTGGTGAGAGGTCCAGCAGGATCAGGTGACTTCTATTCCTCATGCTCTTAGAAGTCAAATTTAGACAAATAAGCTAGCTTTGTTTAAAAGTCTTAATATGGAGAGAACTCTGTGCATTAGTTTCTTGATCAAAGAGTTCTTTCAAGAGCTTTGTGCTCTCCAGGATAATGATATACTTTTCTCTGTATCAAAGACGTAATTATTTTGGGGGGGAAATGTGGGCTATCTCTTGAAAGTTACTTATTGGAGTGATAAGCTCTCATGGCTTGCGGTTATAAGGACAAAATGATATTAAGGTTTTCTAGTTTATGATATGCTTTAAAATGATCAAGTTAAAGGCTTAAAATCTCAGTATTCTCTTCTTTGAAATATAGGAAACCATAATGGTTTAAAATAGCTTTCATTTGCCAGATAACTGAAGTTAGTAATATTGATGTCATAATTTTATCGTTGACTTATTTTTTTCATGATAAATTTATATTAAGAAGAAGGTATCTACTGTGGAAGAACCAGATTATTCTGGTTTAAGAATACAGACACATCTGACAGCTTCTAAGCCAAGGGCTGATATTGTAGGCTTTCACATTTTACATTAGGGTCGACTCCCTCTCAGATTCCCATATATTTGGTGATAATATAGTTAGCATTGTTTCAGAGAACCTTTTGCTTTATTGATTAAGATCTTGATTGTTTAGTTTAAGTGGATGGTGCTAATTAGATTAAGGTCATAGATATGATGCCTTTGTGAATTAGTTAACCATGCATCAGGAGAAACTATTTCATGTCCACCAACTTGCAAGAATTCCAATTTCTGGATAAGAGCAAAGAGGATAGCTTACTTTTGGTGATTTTCACATATTAAGTTTTGGTGCTCTGTATCAGTGCCAAAACCTTAATTGGTGTGTAGTAACTAAATTAGCATGAGGTAGCCTTACGGGTATTTTTCACTTAGCACCTGAGGAGAAAGGGATTTCAAGTTTGTTTTAAAAATTAAAAGCCATTAACACATTCAAGGACATCCTTGAAAGATAAGAGAAAGATACATTTTTATAATAAATTAACTCTCCTAATTTAGTTTCTTCTTATGTTTGATTCTACCAAAATTGTACTATTCTCTTGGCCATCTGTTTTATATCATTTAAATGTTTGAGATGTATCTAGCTAAACTCTCATCTGGACTATTAAAAGAGAAAGAATAGACTATTGAAACATCTCTACTGCTGACATTCATTTATTAAAAACATCACTATGTTTGTATAATTAGAGGTTGGCAAACCTCAAACCCTATCTGGTGGTTAGTCCATGAGACTGCCCTACAGAATTGCAACGCTCTGGTTGAAATAGCTCAGCAGTTACCTTTATAGCCTCTTGAGAGTAGCAGCATCAGTATCCTCATTCACTTCTGCTCTCCAGCTGTTATCCCCTTACCCCAGGTAGTGACAACATGGTGGGTAAGCTCAGAGAAGCACCACTAGTGCCTAGAGGTGACGTGTGGCCCCACTCGTTCCCTAACGGCCTCACTGGACCAAGCATGGTAATGTAGAAACATTGCCAATGCTTGCTTTCAAACTTTTCAGTGATTTTTATTGTAGTTATTCTTAGCCAAATAGTTTATATTAAATTAGTGCCATTTGTTGTATATCTTGGTATATATTTCCATTACTTTAGGGTACTTTTTTTATCTTAATAGACAAAGAAGTTATTTACATATGTCCTTTCAATGGCCCCATTAAGGGAAGAGTTTACATCACAAATTATCGTCTTTATTTAAGAAGTTTGGAAACGGTAAGTAGAATCTAAGACCATAAAGATGACCCTAACTGTTAAAGATAATGCTAAACTGTTTCTCTTCTACCTTGCAAGATTGACTGTGGCTCAGATTAACATGGGGGATACATTTGCTTCTCAACTCTTAATGTTTGGCTTATGCAAAGCTTATTTTACACTAACACCTATATATGTAGGAATAGAGTAAATTAAAAATAAGTTTTGTCTTTCATAGTAGTGGGGAGGGGTTAATAACTGTACCCATTTGCTAGTTTGGAGAAGTTAGGTAGGTATAGAACAGTGGTTCTTTAGAAGAAGCACAGAGAAAATTCACCTGTGGAGCTTAAAAACACTACAGTGTCCTAGGTTTATTACATCAGAACATGTAGCTCTTCGGTCCAAGCACAGTTGTAATTTTTAAAACATCACAGAAGAGGATACTGATGTGAATCCCTTGTATAGGCCCACCTCTCTAGAACTTTTCAAGTGTTCGATTACAGAGCATCAGGTAGCAGTTTAGAACTAGGCTGGCTATGGTGTGGCTTAATGCCACTCTACCTTTTCATTCTAGAGCCATGAAATGTTTACCACAACATTTTAAGTAGTGTTCCACTGGTGGGAAGATGAGATAGAGACAATATGGTCCAGAAGAGAAAGAAGGAGTGAATAGCCTCTGTGATTATCACAGAAGGACCTATTAGTAGACGTGGTGGGTCGCCATTGCCCAGGCTGGCCTGAAGGGACAGCTTTACTTTGATGAGATGGACCAAGGGGGAGTAAATAGGTCCAGGGTACATGGAAGAGAGCCCAACAGCAGCTTTTACACAGGAGACAGTGAGACTGTTGGGGGAATCTCGCTTTAGCATAAATAACATTTACAGTTGTATCAATAAAGATGGAAGAGATTTGTTTCAACAGCAGCCCATTCTTATTTGACCCAGTAATTGTACATGATTGATTAAAAAGTTAATAGACCTATAGGGTGAATTAAGAAAAGTATAATAACGGCGAGACAAAATGAGGTGGTAGTTCCATCTGAAGTGTTGTGTTCAAATCCTGATGCCATATTTTAAGAGGGACATTGACAAACTAGAGATGGATGGTTCAGACACAGGGAACCAGGCTAGTAAAGGTGCTGCAATATGAGCAATGATCAAAATAAATGTTGATCTTTCATGTGAAGAAAAGAAGACAAAGGGAGACATGACAGAGCTACCTTGGAATGTATGAAGTGGCTTCTGTGAAGTACCGATTAGACTCATTCAGTACAGCTCCCAAGGGTCACACTGGGACAGATTAAAATATTTTATGCTAATATAGGGGAGATGCATGAAAAATTTAGAATTAATGCAAGTGTTATCATGCCTTCACCTCTGAGACTTTTGGCTTGAGCCACATATATGCCTGATTCCATTTTATGCTGTCATTAACGATGCACTGGAAAAATTACTGAAACTAGTGCTAAGACAAGATTGTGTATATTGTGTATTCTTAATGATGTAAAACAAACAAAAGCTACCTGCAGAAAAAAGCCAGAGGAAATACACCAAAAGTTTTAGTACTTGGGGTATTTGGAGAGTGGATGGAATTAGGCATGCTTTGTTTTTTCCCCTTCCACTTGGAAGAAGCATATAGTCCTTTTATAATTGGGAAAACACTCAGCAAGCTGTATTTATTTTTTTTTATATGGCACTCTAGAAGGTGGGGATTAGTGCTGAATGGGTGAATAAAATGCCCATTTGACACTGACTTCTAACTTTTTTCTTCTTCCACTAAGTTTTACATAAACATTTTAACTGATTGGACACAACATTTAGTCATGGTATAAAAGCAAGCAGATAATAGCAGAAAACATCATATAAAGAAAGCCACTTACGTGGTTATGTAGAAGCCCAAAAACAGTCATCATAATGTTTTTTAAAGTTATAAAAAAAAAGCATTAAAAAAACCCAGCATTAATTGTGGATTCTGTTGCAAAATATGAATTTTTTGTTTGACAAAAAGCTATCATCTCACTGGCATTTTGAAGTGGACACCTGTTTGTTTCAGGTATGTAAACACTGCAGTGGAAGTGCAGTCTGACGCCGAGTCAGCTGTCCAAGCACAGCAGTCATTTCCTTAGATTGTCATGGTGGCCCTCCTTCATGGTCTTCCCCCACCATTCTGGCCTGCATGATGCCTCTAGAGTGATCCTCCTTAGACCTAGGCTGATCAACTTACTTCTCAGTTCCAAAACCTTTGTTGGCACCCTACTGCCCATAGAATAAAATCCACTCTCCTTTATATGGCATAAAAATCCTCCTAACTTCTCTTGTCTTGGCTCTTACCACATCTCCCATACTGTTCTCAAACTACACAAAGCCTCTTTCTTCCCTTTTCCCAGCCTGAGAAGCCCTCGCATGCCTCTGTACCCTTGCATGCGCTGTTCTCACTATACCTGAATGCCCTTTCAGAAGCCACTATTCATCCTTCAGAACCCACCTCAAAATCATGTCCTCTCCGAAACCTTCTTCAATTTCCTGTGAAGATTATCACTCCCTCTTTGTGTCTCCAGAGCCCTTTTTCTCATAACTGTATGTTAACACTTGTTATGAAACCTTCCCTAGCCACTCTATCTAAACTTGTAATACCCATCCCAAAACTTCCTCTCTCCCTTCCATGTTTATTTGTTTCTCCTGAGCACCTGCCACTATCTCCTATTTTATATTTTTCACTGCTTTATCTTGTTCTTTGTCTGAGGACAGGAATGCTTGTCTATCCTCAGCACATAGGACAGAGACTGGCACATGAAGGTACTCAATCAGGGTGTGCTAAATAAAGGAATTCTGATTTATTTATATGCTGCTTTGTCTGTGGTCATAAGTAATGGTGAGTCCTTTTGGCCCTTTGTGCCTAGCTAGTACAGTGTGCAGTAGACAGTAGGTGCTCAGTAAAAGTGGATTCAATGAGTGAATTCGGGAGGGAACAGGCCTCATCACTGTAATTTGACTACATCTCAAAGATCCATAGCAACCTTTTGATCTTGAGGGTGGTCAGTAATTTGGCTTGGCATTGATCTTGTGACTCCAGGAGGGGCCACTTTAGGCATGTAATACTTTGTAATCTGGTAGTCCAGTGGTTGGCAAACTGCGGCTCATGAGCCACATGCTGCTCTTTGGCCCTTGAGTGTGACACTTCCACAGAATACCATGTACAGGCGCGCACGTACAGTGCGACTGAAACTCCGTGGCCCATGCGCAGAAGTCGGTATTTTGTGAAAGAGCCACACTCGAGGGGCCAAAGAGCTGCAGTTTGCTGACCACTGTGTAGACTACCATGGGAAGGGTGCTTCTAGATTCCCTTCTAGGAACACTTTGAATTCAGGTGCTACAGAGGATGAGAAAGGCAATTGGACTCTTTGCTTATTTATGTGTTCATATCTTTATTCCAGAAACTTTCATTGAGTCCTGTGGTGAATCTAACATCATGCCAGGTGAATAATGTGGAGATGAGTAATTGTGGTATAACATGGCAAAGTCTGCAGTGGTTGTATAATGCTATGAGGTTACAAGGGAGAGGATGATTAACTGTGTGATGAGTCATAGAATGCTTTACAGAGGAGGTAATATTTGAACCAAGTCTTGAAGAATGGTATCAATTTCCTGGACAGAAGGGAAAGTGGGGGGGAGCATATCAGGTAGAGAGTTTTCATATCACATGTATAACAATATGAAAAAAATACCATATACAGTTGAAATGGCTGAGTGATCTATTGGAGCTGGAATATAGTGGGTAGAGGGAAGAGTGGAGAATGGGAGGCAATGAAGCTATATGCATGTTATATAAAGAATGACATATCAAATGTGTATTTCAGGAAGAGGAGTCAGGTTGCAGCATGTATGATATATTAGGGAGAGAGAGACTGGAGGAAGGGAGTTATTTTTGTTTTCCAGGTAAGCAATAAGAGCCTAATACAGCCCTAGTTGTAATAAAAAGGAGGGGACAATCTTGAGAGATTCAGGATTTGCATGGCCATTAGAGACATGAAGAAAATATTCGAGTTGAGAATGATTCCTGTGATTTTTTGGCTTGAATGATTGGGACTGCTCCCAGTCATCAAAATGGACATTATAGGAGAAGGAATGTGTTGGAGACAAACCCCAGGGAAAATAAGTCTGAATGTGTGGACTTACAGCAGTATAACAACTAGGTGGAAATAACTTGGAAGCAGGAGGAAACATGACTCTAAGGTTCCCAAAGTCATTAGCATATCATTATTGGGAAAAATCATGTACAACCACAAGATTACTCTCAAAGAGATGTGGGCTGAGGAGAGAACCCTAGGGGACATGAACATTTTTCCATGATGGGTTGAGAAGAACCACTGGAGAAGAGAAAGAAGAGGCAGTAGAAAATCTGACAGAAGGCTTTGGTGAAAGTCAGTAGAAGAGAAAAATCTCAAGAAGTAAGGAGTAGAGCATGGTGTGAAATGTTACAGAGTTCAGTAAGATAAAGAATGAGTACAGCCCAACCAGTATGGCTCAGTGGTTGAGCAGGGGCATGCAGGAGGCAGCTGATCGATGATTATCTCTCATCATTGATGTTTCTGTCTCTCTCTCCCTCTCTGAAATCAATAAAGAATATATTTTTTAAAAAGAATGAACAGAGACTGTGGAGAGTGGCCTTTAGGAGGCACTGGGAGCCTCGGTAGAACAGATTTTGTGATGATGTGAGTCTGATCGGTCTCTCTTGCTCCACTTTCTACCTCCCCATGGAAGATTTTCCAACTCCCAATCCTCAGTACACTTCTCTCTATTCATTCTTTGCCCCTTGGCTTCATCTACTCCCTGCCTCCAGTCACTTCTCTACAGATAACACCGTATGTTAACAAAGCTTTTGAATTTACCAAGACTTTTCCCACACACTCTCATCCCATCCGACAACAGCTGACAGGTAAAGCAGAGGTTACCCAGCCCATTTCCTAGACCAGTGATGGCGAACCTTTTGAGCTCAGCGTGTCAGCATTTTGAAAAACCCTA